CTGCTGCTTCATGGATTCCTATCAGTCTTATGTTATTCTTCTTTGCATCATCTAGGAGTTGTTGGATCGATTTCTCATGATTTCTTACTGTTTTTAAGAGACCTCTCTTTTCATGGTCACTAACTGCAATCTTATCTTCTATATCTGAGAGCCTATCTTCGCATTCTTTTATTCTGCTGCATACACTTTCAATAGAGTGTTTAATCTCCTGGATATCTGTTTGAATCTGTTTTATGGATTCCATTTCTTTCCTACATTGGGCATTTATTTTTTCCATTTCTTTCTTATGTTGAGCCTTCATGGTTTCTATCATGGTCCTGAGCTCATCTATTTTTCTGTCAGTTTCTGCTCTAGAGTCTCGAATCACAACTTCCATTTTTCTCACTATCTCTATGGTTATCTGGGAAATTATTTTTGTTTTGAATTTTTCTAGAGCCTGATTGATCTGTTTTGTTACTTCCTGTGCTTTGAGTTCAGGGTGTCCTGGTGGTTCACTATCGGCCTTTTCATCCTCATTTGCCCTACTGTTTGCCATTAGTGAACTGGAAGTCTGTCCTTGTGTCTTGCTTAAGTGTTTTCTCATTTTAATTTTTGTTGTCGGACTGTACTTGGTCTAATCTCTGGATTATCACCCAAATCTTCCTGATATAGTTGCACCCTAGCTTCTGTGTCTCTAACGATCCACAGACATTCTCATCTTCATAACATCAGAGAAAACAGCTCATCAAATCAACGGCAATGCTTTACCCCATCTGATACAATCAGCAACACATTGAGATCAAGCGCAACTTGGACACTGACCATCTGTGGTAGTCACTAGTCTATCACCCTTAAATCATTTGAATTAAATTGAAATCAAGAAGCAGTCCAGAACATGTCTGCAGTGAACAAACTTTTCAATATAGTATATTTACCATTTAATGGCTCAGACAGAGCGAGGACGCAGTTAGCTGATGGCTGAACCCCATGACGCTGACTGACCTTGGGCTGCAAAGCCCAGATTGAGTTCCCCATCCTTCTGAATGGTTGAATTCCGCAATGTTCTATTACAGGTTTCCCACGCCCTTTCTTTAAAGATGGTCAAAGTTGGGAACTCAGAAAAAATACCCTTGATGACCACCTCTGTCTTTGCAGAGTGGGTCCAAAGACTTGCACAGTCAGGAGGTCTGAGAGTGCTGGGGGGGGGCTTATGGGGGTTCAAGGGTGCCCACGCGGCTACCTTCCCGGCGCTTGAGCGATGGCTGCTGGGTTGGGAGCAGGCGTGGTTCTCCGAGCTTTGAGCTTTGTACAAGTTTCTTCTATGTCCATTTCACCTGAATCTTTGTCAGACTCTCAGCGTCTTCCTCATCTAACCCACTTTCAGAGCCCTCATCAAATTTGGAATTCTCCGTGTCTCCCCGCTCCCTCCTCCTCCTCCTCCTCCTCCTTCTTCTCTCTCTTCTCTCTCTGTTTTTTGTTTGTTTGTTTTTGGTACCAGTGATTGTACTCAGGACCTTGCGCTTTCGAGGCAGGCACAGTGCCATTGAACTAAATCCCTGGCCTTTTGAGCCAAGGTCTCTCTACAAAGTTCAGTTGGCTTCGAACTAGCAGCGATCCTCCTGCCTCAGCCTCCTGACTGCTGAGAGTACAGGCATGTGGCACCAACCCTGGCTTTTAACTATTTTTAGGATGACCCCCTTCAAATTTTTTCTGGGAAACCCTCTTTGATCTCCTTTTCAGCCTCACCTTCCTTAGTATCTTTTGTAGCACCATCTTCTTCGCAGTCTGCCCGATCTGCTCCTCATCAGCACATCAACAGTTCTCCGGACAGGGCTCCAGCAGTAGCCTCTGGGGCAGTCACACTCCACGCCCTTGGACGCTCTGCACAGCCACATGCCCTTCCTGAAGCATCTGAGAACACAGCGCTGGCAGCCTTGGTGACCCCGGGACACTGAGGAATGCCTCCTCTCCTCCCTTTCCCTTGGGGTCTCATCCGCCTGATACTCAATCCATGGTCCCATCCCATGCTCGAGTGGTGATCATCAAACTCATTTCATCCACGCTATTGCCATTTGTATTTCCACCCAGTAGGGCTCAGATGAATAGAGGCCAAAATGACGCCGTCTCTCTTACTTTAAATGTAAACAAAATTAAGTGAAATTCGGGGCTCAGTAGTCAGTGACTGCGACATTGGACAACGCATACACGGTCTCGTTCATGTGACGAAAACAGCAACAGCTCCAAAGATCCCTTATCACCCCAAATCCTGACATTCAGTGTTTTCAGAGAGGAGCTTATCCTGGAGCTTCTAAGGGGAATTACACACTATTCCTTGGCACAAGGTTTTCTTCATTCAGCTCAACGACTGAGATTCATGTGTGTTGCTGTGTTTATCAGTAGCTGGATCCTGTTTCTTCTTTCTGTTTTATGTATGGAGAGTAGTACTGGGTTTGAATCCAAAGCCTTTGTACTGAACCCCAGTCCTTTTTAAATATTTTTTTTTATTTCTGACACACGGTCTCTCTAAATCGTTAAATTGCCCAGGATAGGCTCTAATTTGTGAGCCTCCTGCCTCAGCCTCCCAGAGTGCCGAGATAACAGGCTTGCACCACCAAGGCTGGCCATAATATTCCGTCTGTATGAAGCTCCTAGACCTTTTCCCAATGTTATATGCACCCAGGCTTTCCTAAGTATCAACACTGGGCCGTTTAGTGGGACTACCGCTTCGCCTCTGGGACGTCATCCGCCTCCAGCCCCGCCCTCTGCCCCGCCCTAGCGCCGCCACCGGGCCACCGTCTGGATCTTGATTGGTTGCTGAAGGAGAAGGGTGGAGCCAGAGATCCAGCCCCAGCCCCACCCCGTTCTGGGGGAAGTCTAGCTCTCTCCCTTTGTCCCCTGCGCTGCACGCTGCTGCCCCCTCATGGTCAGAGCCCAAGAAGATCCGCTCTGCTCCTGGTCTCCTAGCCTGATTTGAAGCCTGGCTGGGAGGCCACGTCTCAGGGCAAGAGGTTTTCTTTTTTCCTTCCTTTCTTCCTTTTTTTTTTTTTTTTTTTTTGTTGTTGTTGTTGTTGTTGTTGAAACAGTGTCTCGCTATGTAGTTCGGGTTGGCCTCGAACTCATGGTGATTCTCCTGCCTCAGCCTTCTGAGACCTTGCAGTTATCTGATGTGTTGTCCTTCCCTAAGAGGACAGCTCCTGGTGCAGCTCCTGGTCCGGAATGTACAACAGCAATGACATCTGCCCAGGGCCGAATCGCGATGCTCGAGTCTCTCCCCTCCCCCTGAGGATTTTTTCCCGTTTTGCTCTCAGAGCCAGCAGCGTCTTCGTCTTTAGTGGAATCCGGGCTCCACTCTGCCCCTACCGTCCATTTAACAAACATCAGCAGGTGCGCGGTTGAGAGCGAGCAGTCCTTCCTTCCACTGTGAGCTCAAGCCCAGCGCGCTCGCTTGGTCACGTGGCTTCTGTCGCGTCTACTTCCTTAGTGTTCCTGAACATCCTAAAACCCTGTCCCATCTCGGGTGTGGTGGTCCATCCTGGAGCCTCAGCTACTCAAGAGGCCGAGGCAGCACAGCCCCCTGAACTCAGACGTGTGAGGTCAGCTTGGGCAACACGAACAGTCTCCCTACTTTCATTTCAAAAACAAAGCAACAGCCTTTTCCTAAGCCAGGCCCTTTGCACTTGCTCTTCCCTCTACATGAAATGTTTTCCCTTTTCCACCCACATCTTTGTGTAGCTGTTGTTCATTTTGCAGCTTTCAGCTGAAACATTTACTCTTCAGAAAAGCTTTCCCGGGGCGAGGGAATTTAGCTCAGTGGTTCCGCTGCCTGCCTCGCAAGCGCAAGGTCCTGAGTTTGATCCCTGGTACCAAAACAAAACAGAAAAGCTTTCCCCAGCAAACTCATCAGATCTAAAATGGATCCCTAGCCAGGCATGACTGGATATACCTGTAATCACAGTGATCTTGGATCCTGAGGCAGGAGGATGGCAAGTCTGAGTCCAGCCTGGGCAATTTAGTGACTTACTGAGACTATGTCTCAAAATAAACAATAAAAAAGATCTGGGGATGTATCTTAGTGTGAAGGTCCTGGGTTCAACCCCCAGTACTGCAAAAATAAAATAGGCTCCTCTTGTTACTACTGTGTGTGTATTACAGGGAATTGAACACAGCCTGATGCTCCTGAGGGATGTGCTGTACCACAGAGCTGCACCTATAGCTTCTGCAGTTACTTTTGTTTATTAAACTTGCTGCCATCCTCCTGCCTCAGCCCCGAGTTCTGGGATTACAAGTGTGTGCCATCATGTGCAGCTTTTATTTTATTTAGTACTGGGATTAAACCCAAGTCCTCCCCTCCCGCATGCATCCTAAATAAGTACTTTCATGCTGCTCTACATCCCCAGTCTGCCTGCTTTCTGTCTTTTCTTCTTTCTTTTAGAAGTAACGGGGTCTCACTAAATTGTCCAGGTTGGTCTCAAACTCTTGATCCTCCTGCCTCAGCCTCCCAGGTCCCTGGGCTTACAGGTGTGTACCACAATGTCTGGGGTCTCTACTGTCTCTTGAATCTGTCCCTGTGATCCTACTAACCCTGCTCACGTTCCTGAATTTCTGGAACAGTCACCTACTTAGAGGACTTCCCAGTCTTCCTTAGCTTGGTCACTCCATTCTGTTCTGCACAAACCAGGTATGAAAATAAGCCTGTAAAATGCAAATGAGATTGTGTTACACCCGCTTCAAGCTTCAGTGGCTCTCTGCCACTTCCAGGAGATATTTCAAATCCCTTAGAGCAGCACTCACGGCCTTTCAAGCTCCTGCTCCTGCTGTCTTTGAGCAGCATCTTAAAAACTCACTGTTCCCTGGGCCAGGGATGTAGCTCAGGTGTGCTGCCACCTGTCTCCCAAGTGCAAGGTCCTGAGTTCGATCCCTGGTACAAAAACAAAAACAAAAAACTCACTGTTCCCTCCCACCATGCTTATGATCACACTAAAACTGCCTAAAGTCCTCCTAAATGGTCAAGGTATCCTAGAAATTCTCACTTTAGCTTTTGTTTTGAGACAGGGTCTTGCTACATAGTTCAGGCTGGCCTTGAACTCACTATGTATCCCCAGGCTGGCCTCAAACTAATGGCGATCCTCTTGCCTCAGTCTGCTGAGTGCTGTGATTACAGGTGTTCACCACCATGCAACTAAAATTTTATTTTGCGGTATAGTCTTGGTAAATTGCGTAGGCTATCCTTGAACTTTACATCCTCCTGATTCAGCCTCTTGAATAGCTGGTGCTTCATGGAGCCAGGCTCAAATACAATATTGTGTTGAATATATGCATGTGATGTGGAGGCCAACAGCCAAAGGGCCAGCATGTGCCAGGTGGGGAAACTGAGGCCAGAGCAGTTATCAAGGGCTCATTCCCGAGAGTGGAAGAACTGGCTAGATATCAAAATCCATTTACACTCACTACCTCACCCAAAACGGGCTGCTTCAGTGTAACAACACGGATTCTCTAGTTTCGGGTGAGTACAATCTGAGTTTCCAGATACATGATCTTTGGAGTCTTCAGGTTGCAGCACTGCTCCACTCTGAAAACCAAGGGCACTAAGAAGTCACCCCATATGCTGGCTTCCTCAGATGTTTCCCTTGTTTTTGTTGTTGTTACTTCGTTTTTGTTGTTGTTGTTCTTGACACTGAGAATCTAACTCAGGACCTTGCACTTGCCAGGCAGGCATGGTGCCACTGAGCTAAATCCCCACCCTGTTAGTCTGTGTTTTGAGAGGGTCTCAATATGCAGTGGAGGCTGGCCTCGAACTCCTTATGTAGCCCAGGTTGACTGGAACCCAAGGTGATCCCCTGCCTCAGCCTCCCAAGGGCTGGGATTACAGGCATGCGCCATCACACCAGGCTCCCAGACATGAAAGGAACCCAGAACCAGACATGAAGGAAAAGGTCCTCCTCACCTTCTTCACCCTTGGCCCTGGTGCCTCAGGCTGCCTTCTTCATCGCAGGGCTGTAAAAGGATTGGGAGCCAGAGGGCAGGCAGCAGGGAGTGAAAAGGTCCCTTTGTGCACCGGCACAGCGGCTACCATGGCAGACAGAGGCAAAGGAGGTGATTGATCCCACCGCTGCCTTCATTTGCTGTGGCCTAAGGCAGGGCCACAGCGGGGCGGCGCTGGTGGTGGGGATGCAGCCCCTCTTTCTGTGCCCCTGTTTCTCCCGTGCAGAAACAGGGCACGCAGTGCAGCTGAAACCTCTCTCTGCAGGGCCCTTCACTCCTTCCGCAGGGCTGCAAAATGGAGCGAGAGGCTGGGGAGCGGCCCTGGGATGTGGAGAGACATGTGCGACACCCGGGGAGGTCAGGAGAGCACCGCGTTTGGGGACTAGGGACAGCCAGAGACCCCTAACAAGGACCCCAGTCCACGTCTTCCTGTCACACGATCCTCTGGACCGTGACCAGAGCTGCTGTCCCGCCGGGCCCCGACCAGCCGGTCCAGTGCGCAGAGAACCAGGCAGTCGCTACTCCGTCGCCACGCGGAGGCGCTGCTCTCTGCCCGCATCTGGGGGTTCTCGGCACAGCTAGGTGGGTACGACGACCTGACCCACTAGGTCAGGAGGCCTCCGCCGCAACAGCCGCCAACGCCTCCAGGAGCACCGAGTGAGCCCCGGCGGGCCCCGCCCTCGGACCCCGCCCACGCCTCCAGCCTCTGCTTCTGAGCCGGA